ATTATTTTTATTTCATTCTGCGTGACGAACAATGTACATTTTTAACTGAACTGTAAGCATATATGCTTACAAAAGTTACAAATACAATACAATACAATTGCTATACCTCATTTCATAATCAACCTTTGCAACATCAGATGTTTGAACACAGGATATTCCGATACTTTTTGATCTGACTCGCCTACAACGGTATGACTAGAATTTGTGCGCCGAAGCTAAATGACTACGGGTCGTGGCTAAAATATATCGGGTTTTTGTCAGAGAATGAATAATAAACGGATTGGGATCAGTCTCGACCGTGTGAACTTGTCGGCATTTTCGCGATGGTACTGATTACGTGGGCATTAACGTACGATGACCTAATTTCTAGCACGTCCTCCATCGCCGCCTACGTAACCCCCATTCCGGACAAATGTCTAGACAGTGAGCAACGCCATAGTTACCACGTTTTCTTCCCTTATTCGACGACATTTTGAGTGGCGATACCCAATAGAGGCCCACACTGTTTCCAACTTTTTTTTACTGGAATCGTTGGGATAAGCATCATAAGACGAGGTTCTGTGATAGTTTGACAAGACACAACAGTTTTGCCTAAAGCTTGATGGAAAAGGTGTAGAAACTACTTGCACTGAACCCAGTTCTGCGCCTTGCATTAAAACCATCGTGAGCAATACTGTCCGGTCAAGTGTGCACGAAATCATCCACAAATTGTCTTGTGCCCCATATTCTCGATTGGTAGAGACACGTGCAGGACGACGTTGTCTGCACTGATGTTCATTACGATTAGGAACGATTACGATATAAGGTGTTGTTCCTACTATGCACTTTTATGACCAGCGACAAATATTAATGAAGAACTAAGAGTAGCGAACAAGCTCGTTTTCAGTGATTCGTAGTCGTATCATAACTGAGGCATCCCGCCCCCTGTATCGATTCGTGGTCAACTATCAAGGCAGTTTCGCTGTCGTGTGCTTGCCACAACGGAAAGGGTAGAAATTCGTCTGCACACGCACACACCCTTCTGTCTGCCCAAAAGCAATTTGTACAGGCGCTTGAGCTTCCCTGGCCCATCCCTACCCCGTCACACACCATAACCCGAGTAGTCCCTACGACCGAATGATCTAACAATTATGTAGTCAGGCTGTGAAAGTTTCCAACCTAGTCGTAATTCCGGACTCTAGTATTGAGATGATCGAGGCACGAGGCCCGCAATAAGCTCACAAAGATAGGTTGTGCTATATCGTGTAAACGGAAAATGAAAAATGGTCTGGTCAGCAGCCTGGTACCCGAGTGAGTAACATGCTTGCGTTCTGCCTGTGAGGTCCTGAGTTCGATCCCCAATTGGGTCGGTGGATCCGTGCTGCTGATGGAACCCAACCAAGTTGAAACTGCTGTAAAATGCTTCCTAGCTTTCCACTTCACGCTTCATTTATTCTATATACGACGAAATTATGTGATCATTGAGAATCTCATATCCGGTCCGAAGAGGAAAGTAGCCCCGAATAACCTATGTTAATAATTTTCTCTTGTGAACAACCAATTATATAAAAACAGTTCGATTTTTATAGTTGAGTGCTGATGCATATAGAATCATCGTTTTGTGTTGTGATATATTGCGATGAGTACGAAACACTGAAAATGAGCTTGTTCGTCACCTTTTGTTCCATTTGAAATGTGCTATGTGGTACTGTTCCGACTTATCCGGAACGTATTTTCGAGCACCGCTAGCTGTTGTGAATTTTTTTCGAAAATGGCTAATTTCATGTAGAATTCCTTGTGACCTAAACTATTCGTGCATACCACACCATTGTTCCTATGCTAACAGACCTGCTGCAAATGTACACACCCAAACTTCTCCGGCACATCAAGCAACCGCTGCAGAGATTGGTCCGGATAAGTACGATTCGCATTCGACTCCCGTGGATGTGGGTCGTTGGAGTCGCACCGATAGCCATTTGGCCTCGGAAATCGATTTCAGTCTGACCGCCCCCAACACATTCAGTGATGGTCTGTGGTTAATTGATCGATCCGAAGGCGAAGTCCCCTGTCCAATTGCACCTGAAGCGTATGAACGCATGACAAACAATGCGGACCTGTGCTTGCGGACCACAGCATCTCATTTGTCAGCGGTGAGTATTCGTGCGAGCTCGAGCTCTTCAGCTCTCGGCAGTTTCAGTACAGTTTGACAAAGGCATCCAAATACCGATTGTCGGATTCAGATTTGTGTTTAATGGCATGTTCTCTCTCAATCGCACACTCGCGCGCGCACGCACGCTCCCCTTTTGCTTTAACGTTTCATTTCTAGATAAAATTTAAGGTAGACAGGGATTGGACCTATTCTGAGAGACGGAGAAGAAGGTGAATCTTTATGGTCAACACGCAGAGTGCACAATCGAAATCAGCAACTCAAGCGTTCTGACCTGATAGGAAATAACAACAAGGACGCCACTGCTGTCGGTTCACTGCCACCT